AGCCTTCCGAGTAGCCGGAACTACAGGCGTGTGCTACCACACCCAGCTAATTTTTGATTTATTGTAGAGATGAGGTCTCGCCAAGTTGCCCAGGCGGGTCTTGAACCCGTGGGCTCAAGCAATCCACTCACCTCAGCCTCCCAAAGTGCGGGATTACAGCCTGAGCCACCCAGCCCGGCTGTCAACACTGTTATAAGCAACACCATGGTAGCCATCTTTCTGCATGTCCGTTTTTTTCACACCACAGGGCTTTTGCACAAACTACTATTCTTTCTCCCAGGAACGTTCTTTTCCCATTTCTTAACCTGATTTAGATAAGACCTTCTCCCTCGGATCTCGCTTAGATCTTCTTCCTTAAAAGGCCTTTGCCGATCTCTTCATTTATGTTGCCTCTCAAGGATCTCAGGGCTTTTTTCCCCTTATAGTATCATAATTTACAGATACGATGTGCTTGGTGCATAGTAATAATAACAGCAGACATGTATTGGCATAGGCTCTGTACCAGGGACTTTTCTGAAAGCTGTATACGTATTAGGCAACGCACACAATCCTCACAACTACTCTTTGACATAGATCCTATTATTATTATGCCCGTTTTAGAGATTGGGAACTGGAGGCACACAGAGGGTGAGACACTTTGCTTTGGGTCACTCAGCTTGTGAACGGAGGTTCCAGGATCGGAATCCAGAGGGTTTACCTACTTAATAAATGCGTGCTCCATAAGTACTGGGCAAGTGAAGTTTTCCCTGTGTTTTATCTTATTTTCTGAAGGGTGATTTTCTAAGCATGGGATTTGGGGCAGGGGGAGAGGCATAAACATTCTGTGCCCCTTGCAATGGGTTTCGACAGTGTTTTCCCAAAAGTGAGACCACCGCGCCCACTTACTCTTTCTCTCCCAAATTCCTGCCAGCACAAGGAGCAGCGGAGGGAGCAACTGTCCGTGGGCGAGGCCTTCCGAGCCGCCGAGGATGTGGGCCAGGCCTTGGGCCAGCAGAGGAGCATGATGGCGGAGCACAGCGCCGCCCTGGAGGAGCTGCAGGAGCAGCTGGATCAGGCTGCGCTGGACGCGCTCAAGGCCCTGACCCTCTCGCTGTCCGAGAAGGCCGCCGAGGAGCTGCGGCGCCTCCAGAACACGGCGCTGACCCAGGAGCTGCTCAAGCGGGGCGTGCCCTGGCTCTTCCTGCAGCCCATCCTGGAGGAGCACGGGAAGGACCTGGCTGCGCGGGCCCAGCAGCTGGAGGGCGAGGAGCGTGACAGGGACCGGGAGGGCGTCCGGGGAGTGAGGCAGAGGCTGAAGGACGACGCCCCGGAGGCCTCGGCCGAGGAGCAGGCGGAGCTGAGACGCTGGGAGCGCGTGATCTTTACGTGAGTGGCCCTGCGGATTCTGGTCCCCCCGTCCACCCGGGTGTGCCCTGCGGTGAGATGGCCAAGCTCGAGACGCCCGACCCGATCCGGGACGGATGAGCTCGCCGGCCGCGCTCCATCACGGGCACTCAGCCCGTCGAGGAGGACCCTGGGCGTCACGCAGGGCTGCTCAGGGATTGAACAGAGTCCAGAGCCGGGCACAGCAGGCAGGCTGTGTAGTACCAGGAGGGTGGGGCGGCCCCTGGCTCCCTTGGGAGGATGTGACGGCTTGTTCTGCGGGTGGTGGGGGAGCTGGGCCTGCCGCCCTCAGGGATAAGCAGGAACCGCATTGTTCCCTGGATAAGAAGGGTCACTGGGGAAGGGGACCGTATCCGTGGGCGCAGAATGGGGCGAGGCACTTGTGGTGAGGCCATGCCGGGCCCTTGTGGTGTCACAGATGTCATGGCCACACATCATTGTGGGCCTTAGTTTTAGTTCTTCCACACACACTGCACCATCTTTTCACTTGGCTGTTTCATGCATTAGTTCGTTAGTTGGGCTTGTGTGTGTGTGTGTGTGTGTGTGTGTGTGTGTGTGTCGGGTTCTCACTCTGTCGTCCAGGCTGGAGTGCAGTGGCGCAGTCACAGCTCACTGCAGCCTCAGCCTCCTGGGCTCAGGCAGTTCTTCCACTTTGCCTCTCAGACAGCTGGAACTACAGGCACGTGCCACCATGCCCTGCTAGTATATTTCTTCTGATTAATTCAAGAGCCATCTAATGGCTTCGGCTTCTGGGTAGGATGTAGAGGCCACAGCTGACTAACACTGTTGCTGTGAGAAACTAGAAAATAATGAATCCTTAGCGCCCATAAAGTTTTTAAAGATAGGGAAGAGCTATGGAAAAATTGAGGACTGATTGGAGTGACGTCTCGGAGGGGCCAATGTCCTGCAGTCTTTCACGTCTCTGCAGCATTTGCCAGTTCTTTGTGTGAAGGAGATTTGGCTCGCCCCAACGAGGGAGACTTTAGTGGCGTAATAGAGACCAACAGAGGTTTGGTGGTGGTTTGCAGCTGACACATCAGATTAGAAACCGGAGCAGCCCTAAACGTAGTGTGGAATGGAACGTGGGCCGTGTAGACCGAAAGGCCTGGGTTTCAGTCCCAGGACCACCACCTGCTGTTTGAGTGTGGGCAGGTTATTTGACCTCTCATCTTTCTTGTCTGTAAAATGCAGACCACAGTGACTTAGCATGCTTTCAGCAGCACACGGTGCTATCGAGTGGTTTAAATGTGAAGACAATACTTACGTAAGAGCCTGGGCTCTTCTCGGACCGTTTGATGGATGTCGGAGGGCAGAGCAGCCGTCTGCAAGCTCCCCTCCTTCCACGGTGGACGGTCTCTCTCAGCATCTTGCTGGCCTCAGAGATGTGATGCCCCTTCCTACACAGTTCTTGTCCCTGGGAACTAACTTTCCTACCAGGAGGATAAGTCCCCAGGTGTTGGCATTAAGTGACCTCTGGCTCTTTCCTATCTTGCACTCTTGTGGTTCCAGCCCCGTCTTTCACTCTGTTAGTTTTTGCTTTCCTGACAAGGAGAACCAGACGCTGTCTTCTCCACTCCTGTAAAACTCAGACGCTTAAATGCCATTCCTTATTGCCATGAATCGTCCTCAATAGCAATTATTCAGCTCAGTCCACATTCCAGCAAGTTCTCTGGACGTGTGCACACCGGTTCTGGAGTCGTCATCGTGTGCGAATTACATCTGGCAGTCCTGTTACCAGAGGTTAACGTTCCCTGACTTCACTGTGGATCCACTGAGTAGGGAGTATTGCGAAAGCCACTGCTTCTTTAGCCATCCTCGGGCACAGAGAACTCTCTGGCTCTTGGCCCTCGGAAAACTCTGATTTTTCTAAGGGTCAAAGAGGGTCAGCTCATGATGCACACAATGTGAATCTGCTTATATACATACTCAAAATTCTAAAAGGTTGCAGCCTTTATTTCTGCGGCATTGTGCAAAAATGGCTTTGCCCAGTAGTTTTGAAACACATTTTTAGAAGTTTCCCAGTTTCAAGCAAGGTGGAGTTGCTGTAAACTTGGTCCGCTGAAGTTGGAATTAATGAGGAAGATTTTTGCCAAGGCAAGTGTGTCTTTGAGACTTCTCTCCTAAGTTCCTGCCATGGTTTTTAAGCCCCTTCGGGGCAAAGATCTTTCCTCCTGTGTTTCTGCATTCTCTTGGTGCTTGTGTAGCCAAGGCTTGAGACAGCCCTGCCAGGGGCTGGTCTCCTGTGAAGGTGGGCAAGAATAATGACTTGGATTCATCTCGGAGTTGCTTTCTCTTTGGATTCCACGTCACAAGCAAGCAGAGGGCAAAGGTGACCACAGGGAAGGTGCAAGGGGCGGTTTCCAAAGTTGCTTGAACCGTCGTGGGGCCTCGAAGAGTAAGGATCCCAAGTAAAGTGTCACGTGGCCTGGGCTCTGGGCCTCCATGCTGATTTCAGCCGAGGTCCCACCTGATCCCTGAAGGCCCCGTTCTGTTTCCACGAGAGAACTTTCTTGCTGAGCCCCCAAACCACATTCCCACCTGGAGATCTGGGTTAGCGTCAGCCTGACCCTGGACAGCCACGGGAGGTATCTCTGAACCCTGAAGCATCCACAAAGTGTATTTTATGCAGCCGGTGTTGACGGACTATTGCCGGAATAACCCAACACCTCCGTGTTTGCCTATAGAGAATGTTTGCTGGATGAATAAGGGAGTAGACACCCACTGCCCAAAACAGGAAAGAAGAAAGAAGGCCTCTTTCTGGAGCGTCGTCTTCGGGGCCAGGGAGGCAATTCTGTGCAGCAGTCCCCACAGACTTCCCCTTGCATCTCGTCGGCCAGAACCGACTCCCATGAGGCTGGGCAAGTGGTCTCATGGGGACTCTTCTTTTGAGTGGGCTGCAGGGCTTGCTGGAAAGGAAGCAGGAATGTCCTCAGTTCCCTCATCTGCAACGTGAGGACTGGTATAAGGGTGAGCAAAGATGCCTGTAAAGGTCTTTGTTTCTTAGTGCTGCCATAACAAAGCACCACAAACTGCATGGCTTAAAACAGCAGAAATGTACTCATGCACATTTCTGGAGGTTAGAAATCCGGGATCGAGGTATTGGCGGGCCATGCTGACTCTGAAGGCTTGAGGGAAGGATCTGCCCCAGACCTTTCTCCCAGCTTCTGGTGTTGCTGGCAGTCCTTGGCTTTTGTTGGCTTACAGACGTCTCACTCCAGCCTCTGCCTCTGTGATCACCTGGCCTTCCTGTGCGTTTGTCTGTCTTCTCCTTTGCTTGCAAGGACACCCACTGTCTTGGACTAAGGGCCCTCTCTGCTCTAGTGTGACTGCGTCTTAAATCTTTTCTTGATGACATCTGCAAAGACCCTATTTTCAAAACAAGTGACAGTCACAGATCCTAGGGTTAGGGCTTGGACAGGTCTCTGGGGAACACAACCCAACTCATAATACTAAATCACTCATGGTTTCCAGCACAGCATAGGTTTCCACTAAGCGACAGAGCCAAGTGCAAGAGACTAGACTCTCTTTTCCCCGACACCCCTGAGCTGAGCTGAGCGTCTTCCCACTGGTCCCTACTTAAAGTAGGCTGCTGCCCAGGGTTGGTGGGCAATGCTTTGTTTTCGTGTCTGTTCCTGAAGTCCGACCAGCTCACGTTCGAGGCCACGCACGCTGGAAGACTTATGGCGTCCTCAAAGACACCCTCATGGGCTTGCCTCACTGAGCTCTAATTCTCAGCCCTGACGTGTTATCTCCAACACGACCCAGCGCTCAGTCAGTGCTTGTGGCTTGAATCATGGGTCTGAGGAGTGAACTTTGCCAGCTTTGCCAGCTTTACCACCGCAGCCCAGCCCCGTGTTTTCTCCGGGTAAGCGTGTGTCGCCATTCTTCCTCCAGGAAGCTCTGCTCCTCGGCTTTCTCCCTGTCCGAAGAGGAGCTGCTCAGGATGAGACAGGAGGTCCACGGCTGCTTCGCTCAGATGGACAGGAGCTTGGCCCTCCCCAGAATCCGGGCCCGAGTCCTGCTGCAGCAGTTTCAGACGGCCTGGCGAGAGGCGGAGTTCCTGAAACTGGACCAGGCCCTGGCTGCCCCCGAGCTGCAGGTAGGATGGACATGCTGGTGGCCTCTGGACTGCAGTGGCTGGGCCGTCCCCCGCCGGCTGATCCTACAGGGTCTGTCCTCTCTGCTGTCTTCATCTTCTCTCACACTCTCCCGTCCTCTCCTCTCCAGCCGTGTTGGGGGCTGGCTGTTTCAGAAACTTCCAGGGTCGTCCTGACCTTCAGGTCTGGCGGACACCGCTGGTGCCATGTCCTGATCCCCTTGCCTGGGCCAGTCAGGGCACTGTCCACTGGCAGCCATGAGTGCTGGCCACTCCTGGGTGCCTGTTACGACCTTCTCCCAGTGGGAGCCACCTGGCCTGAGACCACACACTCACTTCCGCCCCCTCCCTCCTTGACAGCCAGCGACCCCCTAAGGGCACAGAGGGCTCTTCTGTAGGTGGCCCCATGGAGGAATGCTCAGCTTCCTGCTGTGGGCCAGGAAAAGGGTGTGTCTCACACTGGGTCTTAAAGGATGGTGCCTGAAAGCTACCTTTGAGGGAGCGACTGTTGTGTGCCCACGGACAGATAATTCTTGGGTGCAGTTTTCAGCTCTAGAACCTTCCAGGGACCACACCAGGCTAGCCTTCACCTGAGGCTCCAGCTTTGCTTGGCCCTTCCGCATCCTGTCCTGTCCTGTTCCCCTGTCCCCGACAGGTGACTCCTCAAGAGGCCTCCCTGGGAAACCGTGTGCACCCAGTCCCCTGCCTCAGGCTCTGCTTCTGGAGAACCCGACCCAAGACGAGGCCTTCAGACTTAGTTTCCTCTGCCAACAGCATGCTTTGTAGTCGACAGATGTCACCTCCACAGAGAGGCCCTCCCTGAGCCCCTAAGACAACCCTCTCCCCAGACCGTCTTCATCCCACGGCTGGGTTTCATGTCTCATATTTACCATTGTCTGAAATGTCCCAGTTTCTTGACTTGCTTGTTTTCTGGGCTCCCACGAAAAACGAGGTCTCCCGCTTGCTCACCACTCAGTAGCGTCAGGCACATAGTGGGTGTGCAGTGAGTTTTGTGAGCTCCGCCATCCAACCAACCAAGCACCAGGCGTGTGCAAAATGTCAGGGCTTCTCTTGAGGTGATAATAAGAGGGGAGGGACCCCCCCCCCAAAAACCTGGAATTATCTTTTGGAGGGCGGAACCCTTGTAGTACAGGCTCCCCCCACTAGGTGAGTGTTTTAGGAATCCAGCAGCAGCAGTGTACCAGCGAGCATTGTTGTGAGAGGCTGTTTGGCTTCACTGAAATTTTTTTTTTTTTTCCGATTCTTTCAGTGCGTTTGCACATCTCATGATGGGTGACTTGCAAGCACACCTGCCCACTCTGCACTGACTGTTCAGCAGTTTTTGACCAAAAGTGGCATGCCCCCATCCCTACCCTCCCTATTCACCCACTCTTGCCCCAAGTGACTTTTTTCTGTTTCTCTGGATTTGGAAAAAGTTCTCAGAAGGGAATGTTTTGCCGCTGTGGAAGAGGTGGAACAAAAAACAACAGAAGCACTAAAAGGCATCAAATGGACAAGCTCAAAAACTGTTTTGAGCAGTGGAAAAAGTGCCTTGAGAGGTGTACTGCACCAAATGGAGATTATTTTAAACATGTCTAAAGTTTAAACATGTATGAATAGATACACAATTTTTAATAAATAAATTCCAGTTTTGGGTGGTTCCCAGATCATATGTTGAGGCTGGAAACATATTAAAACCACTTAAGCTGAAGTCCACAGCCGTGCCAGGAGGTCAGTGTGATGTCCCCATTTTACAGATGAGAAAACTGACCAGCAGAGGAAAAATGAATTGACCTATAGGAAATAGAGAACGTGGCTCAGAACTGGTATTTGTTTTCTGACTTTAAACTCACTGCTTTTCCTTCAGTGGAAGTAAAAAATTCAGACATATCCTTTTGGAATAAAAATCAGTGGATACAGAAGCAACTTTGAGAGGCTTTTACACTCTTAATTTTTTTAAGTGTTTTTCTATTTCTGTTCATATAAGTATGTGGGGATATATAACATGGTGGTAGTTAAAGCGGAAGGGATAGATGATCAACAATTGAAAAGATCCTGGGTTGGGCTGGGTGGCTTCACCTGTAATAGCACTTTGGGAGACTGAGGTGAGTGGATTGCCTGAGCCCGCAGGTTCGAGAACCACCCGGGCAACTTGGCGAGACCTCGTCTCTATAGTAAATCAAAAATTAGCCAGGTGTGGGAGCACACGCCTGTAGTTCCAGCGACTTGGAAGGCCGAGGTGGAAGGATGGCCTGAGCCCCGCAGGTCAAGGCTGCGGTGGCTGGGCGCATGCCACTGCCCTCCAGCCTGGGTGCCAGAGTGAGACTCCAACTCAAAAAATAAAAATAAAAAATAAAATAAATTAAAAAAAGATTTTGGAACAGGGAGGAAAATACTTCCGTATCACTGAAGTGAGGCATGGGAGTCCATGACCTGCTATTGCCTGACTTTTAAGGTGATCAGTCTGGGCAGGAATGAAGTTTCTGACTTTAAAGTTGCCCGAGGTACTTGGTGTTCAGGTGGAAATGGCCTTGCCCTCTGCCTCAGAGGGGCAGATGTCATCTGTCCTGTCATGAGTTGCTTGCTGCACATCTTCTAGGGGACAGGGCCTGGTCTGCGGGTCCTGGACCTCGCAGCTGGCTGAACTCATTTCACATGCTCCATCCTTAAGGAGCTGCAGAGCAGGTGGTAAAGCCTGCCCAGGTGTCTTGAGCACCGAGGTCTGGGGCAAAACTTGTTTGTTTGTTTGTACAGACAGGGTCTTGCTCTGTCACCCCGGCTGCAGTGGAGCAGTGTGTTTCTAGCTCACTGCAGCCTCGAACTCAGGTTCAAGTGGTCCTCCTGTCTCAGTCTCCAAATAGCTGGGACTATAGGTATGTGCTACAGTGCCCAGCTGGTTTTGTTTTGTTTTGTTTTTTTGGAGAGACAAGCTCTCACCCAGTCACCCAGGCTGGTCTTGAATTCCTGTTGTCAGGCAATCCTCCTGCCTCTGCCTCCCGAAGCATTACAGGTGTGAGCCGTCACACCCAGCAAAAAATGGGTGTTTTCGTCTCCATTTTGTCCTTTGTAACATGGACATAATGAAGATAATGCAATATTAGGGAATCAGGTGAGCTAATAGGTAGAGTGGAATTAGCAGGTGCTCACAATATCACTGTTGCTGGACCCTCTTTTACCTCTCTGTCTTCTCACCACTAAGTAACCCCTCCTTTTCCTTTACAACTCCTGTTGGGATCACCAAACACTCAGTACCTAATGGCGAAGGTAATCGGCCAGTGGTGCCCAGGACGCTCAGACCATTTACGGAAAGGTTTCAAAGGCCTCGTAAACTCTGAAGAGCTGCACAAGTCACATTCACCACCCCCCCACTTGGTTCAGACCTTTCCATGGCTCTCTCATCTGGGACACAAGTTCCAGCATGCTCTTCGGCTGCACATGGCCAGGCCCCTGGTGGGAGCAGTGCTGAGAAAGCGCTCAGGAAGGGAAGGATCTCCTGACTTGCAGCATTTGGCCATTTCCATCGTGGAAATATTCCTCCAAGGCCGACTTCAGGCTACCGGCTTGGCATCGCTCTCCCTGGAGTTGGGGGGCAGAGATGTGCACGGTCGGCTCCCACACCCACCCCACCCCCCAAGCCTTAATCCCTTCACAGCTTCAGTCTACACTCCGGGCGTCAGGGTCCTGCTCACTGGAGGCGCTGACACACTTTTTAAAAAAAGTTATCCCTGTTCCATGGGGAAATGGAAACAGTAGTTTACTCGTAGGGCATCTCTTCTGAGCCTGGCGTGAGTGAGCACTGAACAAGATGTGGCCCAGGAGTCAGGAAACTTGGTTCTTCATTCTCAGGGCTCCTGCGGTGTGGCTTTGGGCCACTTCTGCAGCTCTCCTGGCCTGTCTCCTCCTCTGTTGAAGGGGGCACTTGAACTCTGTAAGCCCAAGTCTCGGTCTAAATGATTACGTGTAGACTTGCTTTCTGGGAGGGCTGGGACAGGCTCTCGGGACGTGGGGGCCTTGCGTGCGTGGTTGCCGTGGCCCGCCAAAGTGATGGCTAAAGTGCCTGGGTCGAGTCTGGTGGGCAGGTCTGGGTTCAGGGCCACAATGGGCTTGGGAAGGTAACAGGACCTCCAGGGGTGTGCTGAGAGAGAGGAGGAAGGGTGGGTGGGAGTGACAGAAAGGAGACAAGCACTCACTGGGAACACCACCCGCCAGGTACAGCGCCAAGCCCCTCAGTGGCAGTGTGTTCCGTCAGGCCACGCTATGCCGTGTTACGTTTTGCCCTCCTGCGTGTTGTGATATTCTTTTATATGTGGTGCCATATTCTGTTGTGTTGTGTTATGTTGTTCTGTTCTGTTCTGTTGTTGTATTACGCTCTTGCAGTAATCCTTTGGGGTTGATACGATTGTCTCCATTTTCCAGACGAGTAGACCAAGGCTCAGAGACTGTGTAGCATCTGCTACTCCCATTTATTATCTGAGTGACAGTTGACCGAGCACCCACGACCTCCTCTCCAAGCACCTTCACTCTCTGTCATTCCATTGCAGCCCTGAGCTTGTTCCCCCTTCAGGGCCTGGAGCCCACTGGTGCTGTACCTGGCGGGTTGTGTTCCCTTCTTGGCATCAGGGTCTCAGCCAAAATGTCACGTGTTGGAGAAGAGGCAGATATGTCTGTGCAGGCTGTGACTCTGGGGTGTCTGCCCGCGGTGAGCTCTGTGTGTGCGGTGTGTACCTGTACTCCGCAGACCTGTACCCCTGGCAGGCATTCTCCCTGCCCACTCAAGGGGAAATAATCCCTGCACGCTGTCATAGTAGCCTTTGTCCTTTGTCACACCCATCCGCCATCGGGTAGTGTCCTCAGCTATTTGTTTGCACATTTACTGATGGTTTTCTCCTTGTCACGGAAGCATCACAAGGCCTGGGACCTCATCCCTCACGTCCCCTGCTCAGAGAGCCTGATGGGTCTGGGGTCACGCAGCTCATGAGTGCGCAGACCTGCTTGTGTCCACTACCTGCCTGACTCCAAAGCTCTGGTTCTGCCCATTGGACTCCCTCTCCTCCCTTTGGTGGGCCTCCCAGAGTGTGAGAGGACCAAAGGCCCTCAAAACCCAGCTCATTCCAGGAAAACTTGCCTTTCCTCCCGCTCTGGGCCGAGGTGAAGTTGAGCGGTTCTGTGAGCTGCAAAAACTTCTCTCTGCCCGCGGAGCCTTGTGGGCTGCACGGACGTGCCGCGGCTCGCCTTCTTGCCAATGTGTTCTCTGACCCCTCTCTAGCAGCTGTCTAAGGCGAGAAAGCCACGGTCCAAGAGCAAAAGCAAGATCGACCTTTTGAAGAAGTGCCTGGAGGACAAAATTCACCTCTGTGAGGAGCAGGCCCCTGAAGACCTGGTGGAGAAGGTCAGTGCTTCTGCTGTGCCTTTTGTTTCTCTGCGTTTGGCGGGCTGACAGCCGACCCGCTTGCCCGCACGCAGAGCCCTCCAGGGCTGTGCCGTCCATCTCCAGCCAGACACCTGCTGGCCACCTTCGGGTCCCTGGGTGGGACCCACTCCTTCCCGAATGCCTTTCCCCCCTGCCTGCCATCTGGAACCTCCTTGCTCCGCTCCTCTGCCTGGGGGTCTCCCGCCATCCTTCAGGTGGGGCCTTGCCTCTGCTGGCTGCAGTGGCTGCCGTATTTGGGCACGCTCTACCCTGGGGTGTTTGCATCTGCTGTTTTACTTCCGTCTCCCTTTTACTCTCACACACCCTCCTCTGTGCTCCCGTGGGCAGACTGGCCTCTCCCTCCAGCCCCGTTTTACATGAATTTTGCAGCATGCACCACGGAGTCTCCTGGGACGCTCTCTTTACCTGGATGCGTGACTTTTGTCCTTGGCTGTAGTAAGGTGTTGTCTTTCCCCTCAGGTATACCCTCTTCCAAGAAGCCTTCCCTAAACACCTTTATTCTTCCCACTTGTTTCGCCTCCACTTGCCGATAAGACTGAGAGGGGCAAATTGTCATATTTCTTATTGTTAAAAGCTAATTCAGAGATCTGAATTAGTGAAGCAGCCAGCGGGCTTGCTAAACCACCCGAGGGGAGTCCAATCACAGTGTCACTAGAAGGGTCCTGGGGGACAGCCTGCCCTGGCCCTTGCGAGCAGAGCAGAAGTCAGGCTTCCAAAGAGAAGCAAGAGAAGAGCCGAGCCAGGCGGCCCAGTTCATTTTCAGTTTACCATACAGGAGAGGAGGAGAGGCTGGAGAGAGGCCAGGGAGCACACCTGAGTTCCGAGCTCTGGGAGGAAATGGCCCCAGGTCGGGGCAAAGGGCACATTTCCTCCAACATGTGCTGGTTGGTAATCCTCTGTAAGAGGCGACATGCGCCAGAGCGAAGGTGGCTTGGTCAGAGAGGAGCTGCTGGAGAAGGGAAAGCTGGGTTTGGTTTGGCCTAGAAATTGGGTGTCCCAGTCTGTGCCAAAGTGCCGCGGTACAGGCTCAGAGGGAGCCCAGAGTTGGAGGCCCCGGGAAAAGGCTGCTTTTCTGGAGCCCTGGGTCACAGCCAGAGGACGGGGTGCAGGCCCGTGGAGGAACATTATCAAAGGCTGGGCACCCTTGGAATAGGGGAGTCGCAGTGTGAGTTTCTGGGTGAGAAGATAACGCAGAGGTGGCTGTGGAGCAGTCAGGCGCAGATGGCACCACTTCCATCACGCAGCTCAAGGCTGGACCTCGGCATCCTCCTGAATGCCCCACTGGCCCCTGCTTCATCTCCCCCGGTTCTTTCCCCTGATCTGTCTACTTCTCGTGTCCCTGGCTGTGCCTAGCACCTTATTGTTGCCTAGAAGTATGCAGCAGACTCTTTACTGTTTCCTGATTTTTCCCTCTTCCTTCCAATGGATTCCCCATACAGCAGGAAGCGTCCTCTTCCTAAAGCCCAGATCGAATCATGTTGTGGATCCTGGACCAAAGAAACTCATCTCCTTTCTTGCCCAAACTTTCTTGCCTATTTTAGTAGAAGGCACTGAGCCCGTTTTTGCATGTAGTGTTTTTTTTTAAACTGTGCCAACCTGAAATAACCAAAGGGGTCAGAACCCAGTTTTAAAACGTTTAAGAGGAAAGCTGGGAGTGGCCATCTGGTAAACACAGACTCCAAAGAAATGGGGTCAGGGCTCCAAAGTTAAAAGTTAAGGTCTTGCTTATATAGGAAGAAAACAAATACATTTAACGAGGTGACAATGTCTTCTATACAAGGCTGATTTATAAGTTACAACTATCTAGTTAGTTTGTTTTCTTTTCCATATAGCTTGTTTTTGTTTCTTTTTCAATTTAAAAGAGTGTGTTTAACATTCCATCTTAGATCATAGGATGGTCATGAAGCCTCTGAGGGAGAGAGGAAAGAGGGAATTAATCCATAAGGAGGATCAAAAGTGAAGAGGGCTGGGGTCTCCCCTGATGCCAGTTAGTCATTTGCAACTTTTGACAAAATGATGTAAGTAAGGAAGCCAGTCTATAAACAGAGAAACAAAGGTCACCTCTCCCTGTCAGATGACTCAGGCCCCATCATTACATTCCCTTAAGGCTCAAGATAAATTTTGTATTACTTATTTTCACAACCATTTAATACAGTTATGTCTCTTGTTGGCAAGTAGAAAAAAAAATTTTTTTTTTCCTTTTCTTCTGTTTGGGCTTTTTGTTCCATTTTGGATGCTTTTATCTCCTTACCACTCCTCTTACTTAATTATTTTCGGTATTGTTTAGGTTTTTAAAAATTTTTTGTATTTTAAAGATGTGGGGTACAGTTCAGGATTAGGGATACAAGTGACCATCGGACAGGTAAAGTTTGGGCCTCCTTTACCTGGTTTGAGATCAGGTTCTCTTACTGATGTTATGTGCCCCCCCCCCCCCCCGACAGTGTCCTGCTACTGCCAACCCTTTTCTTATAGTACTCTGGTAACTGTTCAGGGTCTGCTTATGAGTGCGAAAATGTGGTACACCTACCCCAGAATATCTTTGTTTCTGTAATAGATCACTGATACGATCGACTCTAAATCCATCCAAGTTGATGCCAAGTCCATATGTTTGTCGTTTTTTATGGCTGCGTAATATTTTGTCGTGTATATGTACCACATTGTTTTTTATCCAGTCCAGTTTCAGTGGGCAGCATGGTTGGTTCCGTGTTTTTGCTATTGTGAATAGTGCTGCAATAAACATTCGTGTGCGGGTAGGTATCTTTTTGGTAGAATGATTTGAGTTCCTCCAGGAATATTCCCAGGAGGGAGACTGCTGGGTCACATGAAAGGTAAATTTCTAGTTCTTTTTGAAATCACCACACTGTTTTCCGCAGAGGTTGAACTCGTTTTTAATTATAATACTCTGAGTATCACTGCTGAAAAAATCTTAACCTGTTTCTTTTTGTCATTCATGGTCCTCTGGAAGTCGATTATTCCCCAGGCCTCTGCTTTTGTCCCAGTGTATAAAATAGGGCTCTTTGTAATTAACTCAGCTTATGAAAGCATTAGTGTGAATATGACACAGTAGCATTAACAAAGCAAAACTGTTTCTAGTCATTATCAAATTCCTCTCCAATACCAGGCATCTTGCAGAGCGTCTTCATGAGCACTGATCTCCATACTCACCACAGAACTGCCAAAATGGCTGTGTAGTATTCCATGGTGTGTATGTATCACATTTTCTTTATCCAGTCCACTGTTGATGGACACCTAGGTGGGGTCCATGGTTCTGCTGTTGTGAATCGTGCAGCAGTAAACATAGGAGAGTGGGTGTCTTTGGGGAAATCTTGATGGCATTTTAATAAGAACAGCGTCTGCTTCTTTTATTTGTTTTTTTGTGGAGCCTGTTGTGTTCCAGGCAGCTTGCTAAATAGGGTGTGTGTATATGGGGTGTGTGCGTGTGGTCTGGACTATTCATATGTGAGCTCTATATGTGAGCCTATGTAGAGTGAGGTTTATTAAGAGCTAAGTGCTTTCTCTCTGTCCACTGTTTGGTCCTCACACATCCCCTAAGAAGCGCCACTACCACTGCTGTGTCAGAAGGAACTTGAGGCACAGAGGAGTGAAGTAACTCCAGGGCCACGATGATGCTGGCCTGTGTCTTAGTCATCGTGCGCTTTAACCCTCGCGACTTCTTCAAGAAGTAGGAAAACTCCACGTTCCTGTTTCACACACGTGGAAACCGAATCTCAGAAAGTGAGCAGATTCGCCCAGGTTCCTGCAGCCCGGCAGTGGCAGATCCAGCACGTGAATCTAAAGCTCACTGGCCCTGATCACTGTCTTGCTGCCTCCCGACCAAATGCCCTGTAAAACAAGGGTGGTGACGACGGCAAGCCACTCGTCAGAGTTTTTAGGAGGAGAACAGATAGGAAGGTGCTGGTTAGCTTTGCAGGGGGCGACAGTGCCAGTCTTTGCCCAGTCATGAAGCAGTCCCGTGTGCTACGTGATCCAGGCTTTGCAGCGAGAGGCAGATGAGAGGCGTTTGCTATCCATGACCTTCTCTGAGGGTTCGTGTCCACAATCGGCCGTTTCATTGTGACAGGTGCCAAGAGAACAGGCACTTTGAGTCAACAGCTTTGATGTTCTGCCCCAAACTGATCGATTCCCTTTTTAGCACTTGTGTGGTGCTTGTTCAGATTGTTTATTTGCAGGGCAATTGCAGAGGGAAATGACAGCCCTTACTCTGTGTGGATGCCTGAAGCTGAGGGCTGCTTGATCTTGTTATTGGTCAGGGTTCTCCAGAAACAGTGCAGAGGAGACAGACGGAGGATAGATATATATAGATAGGTGATAGATGATAGGTATTAGATAAATCAATAGATGATTACATAGATAGATAGATACAGCCAGCCAGACAGAAGCAGATGTATTAGGGAAATTGGGTCACGCAATTAGGGAGGCCAAGAAGGCCCACAGTCTCCCATCTGCAAGCTGGAGAACCCTGGAAGCAGATGATGTCATCCAGTCTGTGTCCAAAGGCCTGGGAACCAGGAGAGCTGGTGGTATGAATACCAGAGTCCAAAGGCCAGAGAACCAGCAGTGCCGCTGTCCACAGGGAGGAGAAGATGGACATCCCAGCTCAAGAGAGGGAGTGAATTTGCCCTTTTTTCACCTCTTTGTTCTATTCAGGCTACCCGAGATGGATGAGTGCCCTCTCCCACCCCCTATTGGGGATGGTAATCTCCTTTACTCAGTCTGTTGATTCAAATGCTAATATTTTGTAGAAATAGCCATACAAGACACATCCAGAAATAATGTTTTACCGGCCCCTTGGCATCCCTTAGCCCAGTTGAGTTGACACATAACATGAACCATGACTACCTTGTTTCAACAATGGGAAGTCCCTTGAAATTCTTGCAGCTGTGAAGATGGAGCGGGCTCTTGCTGACAACCCACCAAGAGACCCACGGTGGAGCCCC